AACCCAGCTTTTAACCTATATTTACAACTCTTACTGTATACATAGATAAAAACTGTTTCATTAATAATTAGAAACCCTGTTTCATACACAGCTAGGAACCTTCCTTATCCTTAGTTAGAGGCCTTGCTTCATATGCAGCTCTAGAAGTCCTGCTTTATCCACACTTAGAAACTCATTTATACACAGCTAAGAACCCTGCTTTATTCTTGGTTAAAGACCTTGCTTTATACACAGCTAAGAACCCTGCTTTATTCTTGGTTAAAGACCTTGCTTTATACACAGCTAAGAACCCTGCTATTTTCCTAGTTAAAGACCTTGCTTTATACACAGCTAATAGCCCTACTTTATTCTTAGTTAAATACCTTGCTAAGAATAGTTTCTTATAGCTATAGAAGCCTTACTTTATACACAGTTAGGGACTCCTTTATATACAACTAGGAACTCTGTTTTATCCAAAGTTAAAACGTTTGATTTATACACTGCTTTAAACCTCGTTTTATCCAGAACTAAAAATTCTACGTTATACATATAGCTAGGAACCTGCTTTATAGACATCACACTTTAAAGCATAGCGGAAGATCTTTCGTTAAGTCCATCTTTACATACTTTATTACCTTGTTTTTCTTGAACTTCTCACTTACTCACAAGGTGGAATCATACGTTTTTCTGAGCTACATTTCTCGCTTTACCTACACCACAGAAACCGTGGTTTACACACAACCAGATTTCTCGCTTTCTCTACAATAGAAAACCATGATTTATACACAGATAGGTTTCTCGCTTTACCTACACTAAAGAAAACATGATTTACACACAGATAGGTTTCCTATTTTACCTACGCTAGAGAAAGTACAATTTACACGCAGCTATATTTTCTGCTTTACCAAAATCACAGAAACCATAATTTTACACAGAGCTAGACTCCTGCTTTACCAAGATTAGAGAAACTATGACTTAAACCCAGCTAAGTTTCCTGCTCTTCTTGCAGCTCGGAAATTGACATTTTATAAAATCATTTACCTGCATCTAAGACCTGTCTCACCCATGATTAGACAGACCCTTTACAACTCATCTCTCACACCTGGTAACTCTTATCATCCAACTTTTACCTAAAACTACCAACCCTGCTTCACGTATGTGAAAGAAACTCTACTTGACCCACGAGGAATCTTGATCTACAAAGATTAGAACCACGTTTTTGGTAAAGTTAGGTTTCTTCTGTACATGCGTTTAGGAAATATGCCCTAACTGTAGCTTAGAATTGTGCTTCACAAACAAGTAGCTGATACTGTCTATAACACACAAGTGAAAGTTCAGCTTTACCCACAGCTAAGAACCCTGCTTTATCCACATCTAAGGAAAATATCTTACCAAATTACTAAGAAGTATATTTTATACACTGCTACAGCCATGCTTTACATATTTTCAAGCTTAGAATCTTGTTTTACCACCGCTATAATGGATTTGATGTGTAATGTTGTATAACCAGCTTTCTGATTTGAACTATATAGTTTCTGTGTTTTTCTAACTGGTCCATTATTAGTTAGATAAACTTTTTTAAAAAGTATAATGAGGGAAACTACAAGTTATTCACGTGGTGGTCCAGCGTTTATCTTCAGGGGTAGTAATACTAAAATTTCGGACTACATCGCACGGGTGGACAAAATTCAGATAGTCGAAACTTTATATTTTTCACCCTAAACTGGGAAACAGTATCAAGTATTCTGCGTCTGTTTCAATACCCCATCTCATGCATAACTTTATTCAACTTTGTAATAGGAATGTTGTTCAATATCAGACATCATAAGCTTATCACTATGTGAGATATAATTGAAATATAGCAGAAACCGACTACCTATTGTATAAAAAACGGATTTATAGAGATTTCATTGAAGTAGGTGTTTAGTGGTTGCTCCTCTGTCGGTTAAAATCAACACATCTCCAGCTATCACTTCACTGTCACAGAGAGTAGCTGCTCCTCTATTCTTTATAATCAACACATCTCCAGCTATCACTTCACTGTCACAGAGAGTAGCTGCTCCTCTATTCTTTATAATCAATACATCTTAATTTACTGATTCACTGTCACAGAGAGTAGATGCTCCTTTATTCTTTATAATAAATACATCTTCAGTTATTGCTTCACTGTCACAGAAAACAGCTGCTGCTCCTCTATTTTCTTTATAATCAATACACCTTCGGTAATCGCTTCAGTTTCACAGACAGTAGCTGCTCCTCCATTCTTTATAATCAATACATCTTCAGTTATTTCTTCTCTGTTACATAAAGTAGCTGCTGGTCTTCTGAACATGGTACAGCTCAGTAACTGCTCTTTTATCCAATAGAGTCTTAATTCAGTAACTTTTATTCTTCCGTACAGAAAATTAGTTCAGCAAATATAGCCCATTGTGCAGCTTTGCACTTAACAACAAACAAACAAATACTTCAGCAGCCACTCATTATTCTAGAGTTCCCCTTAGTTATAGCCATGCACCAGGACACTACATCATAATGTTTCATCTTCCATATAAAATATTAATTTAGTAGCAACATTTTCTACATAGAACTAACGTGGAAGAGTTCTCCTCCTAAACACTCTTCCGGATCAGATGTTTATACACATGCTATTGTACTTTAACAACATATTTTCTACAGGCGACTATATTGTCAAAATAACTCCTTCTATAAAGCACTCTTTCAGTGATAGCCACTTTTCTTCTTTCATGACACTGACTGTGTAACTCTTTCTCTCCTTTACAGAGCGCTAATTAAATAACAAATCATTTAGCCAACTTCTCTACCCTACAGAGTTGTTTCTCCGTAATAGTTCTTATCTCGCCATGCACTAAGTAACGTGTTACGCCTAATCAACTTTTCAATCATTCTAACAGTCTCTTTTCCCCCACAGTAGTATACACTACATATTCCCAGTATATGAAAAGTTTCCCTGTCTTAATACTTCTAAGTAACTCTTCGGCATTGACCAGAGCACCATATATTTTTGTAGTATGCGACTCAGAGTTATAATTTGCCGTATTTTCCAGTTAATTGGTATGGTTTGTACGATATCACACCAAACTACATAAGCCATAATATTAAACTAATAGACTAGAGGAAAGGCAGATATGCAGTAGTACCCATCGACAACTCTTGGACCATAATAATAAGGTAAAAGGATTTTGACAGCCACTCTTGTCACGCATCTACATCCCCAAAATGCGGAGCGCGATTTTTTGCTGAAAAGGGACGCGAGACATGGATCTTCGATCCACAGTCCGTTAAGGTAACCAGTAGATCACGCCGGGCCTTGGATTTAAGAAAGAGCACAACACTGTACCAGATGCTGACGAATTACAATTATTTTATGCATCTTTCGTCAACCAGCTTAAAAGAGAAGAAAATGGTTGTATTCGAGGTTTGGTTTCTTTTAATGTATGTTAGATATACTGTCGTAGAACACGTTACAATTGCACAGGTGTTCCTATATAATAGTGAGAGATATAGTAATGTAGAAACATTCTTATATTTGTCATTTCATTACTAGTCATTTTCACAGGGAATGTGCCCGAAAAAAGTGTCTTATGTATGTTTATCGAATAATATACAGTTCACTGCAAAATGTTACAGAATGTGAAAAGCATTAAGAACTAGAAAAAGTATTATTTTATAATTTTAATATATTTGAAAACCATGTGTTCCTTTCCTATTTTAGCATGTCAGAAAAAAGTCTTTAAAACACTGTTAGAAATTTAACACCTCGTTATAAATAATAAAAATACCTATAGTAATATTTTGTTTCTAGCGTATATCGAGTTTTAAGCAGAAGTCCCCCAGTGGGTCAGGGTAAGTTTACAAATTTACAATGCTATAATCTGGGGTTTGATTCCCTGAGGTAGACAGGATGCACATAGTTCATTGTGTAGCTTTGCGATAAAAACAAGCTAACAAACTCGAACATAAAAACAAAATAAAACAGGAAGCTGGAAGTTGCTGTTATCAGGATATCCAACACTAAGCTGTTAAAAGAAGAAAGTCTAAAAGACCAGAAGAGAAGCATATAAAGTCCATGTTATTAGTTTGTTTACCATATATACATATATGTGTGTGTGTAAAGTATACGATTATAATATAAAAAAACGAAACTAGGAGCATATAAAGTCCATGTTATTAGTTTGTTTACCATATATACATATATGTGTGTCTAAAGTATACGATTATAATATAAAAAAACGAAACTAGGAGCATATAAAGTCCATGTTATTAGTTTGTTTACCATATATACAAATATGTGTGTAAAGTATACGATTATAATATAAAAAAAACGAAACTAGGAGCATATAAAGTCCATATTATTAGTTTAATTACCATATATACATATATGTGTGTAAAGTATACGATTATAATATAAAAAAAACGAAACTAGGAGCATATAAAGTCCATATTATTAGTTTAATTACCATATATACATATATGTGTGTAAAGTATACGATTATAATATAAAAAACAAAACTATAGCAAAAATCCTTACTGGAAAAGTAACAAGTGCTAATTTATAAATTCTATGCAGATTTAAAAGAATCTCACTTCATAATTTAAAACTTGTACTTTTACGTAATTTCACATCCTAGCCGGACCCACTGGCTTACTACAGTCTCTTACATTAAACGTGTAAAGATTCAACTACTCAGTTCTGTGTTTCTCCACGCACTCCTTTGGTTGTCAAGGTGATGATGTATCGGGCCAATGATAGTTAGAAGCAGTGGAGAGTGTGGCATACAGAAAGACACGATACATCGTTTGACAAGGAAGGCGTGGTTGTCTCGGACAGCGTGATCTCAGCTGGTGTATATGAAACGCACGCGCTCGCTTGCAGTTCTGATTGGCTGGGTGACAATTCGTTTACATAGGTAACACTGCTGCTCCAAGTACAAAGTTGTGTACAAAGTGAGGCTTGTTGTAAGTTTATACGTATCAAGGCGAGTTGACATTGAACAATCAAGATGAATCTTTCAACTCGTATGCACGACGGGACTGTCACCCCCAGTAGTGCGGATCCCATCTATGGGCTTAGCCGAACCCCAAACTCGTTGGCTTCGGTCACTGGCGGGGCTATGAGTAGCTCTCCCCATACTGTGACCTCAGGAGCGGCAGTCATCATGAGGCCTGCTGAAAGATACCAGCGGACTCCGAAATGTGCTCGTTGCAGAAACCACGGCGTAGTGTCGGCACTAAAGGGACATAAACGTTACTGCAGGTGGCGGGACTGTGGATGCGCCAAATGTACTTTAATCGCCGAACGGCAGCGAGTTATGGCAGCCCAGGTAGCTCTCCGACGCCAGCAGGCCCAGGAAGAGAACGAGGCCCGTGAGTTAGGTATCCTCTATGGTTGTCACGACGGTCTTTTTGCTCTACATCGCGCCGGTTTGACCTTTTCTGCTGCTATGACCCAGCTTCTTAACAGCCAACAGGGACGCAGTTCGACCTCCACTGATCAGTCTTCCGGAGGAGTGACCACTGAACCACGTGATCCAGGTATGTATGAAGCTATGCTAGAGTATCATAGTGCTTATAATATGCTAATAGTATAAAAAGATATGTTTACTTGCTATGATAGTAAAACCAATGCATTTACCAGCTCAGTAATAAGAAAGTACCTTCAGATCGTAGCTAAAGTAATAATACATAGTCGTCTTTCAGCATTAAAAAGTTGGTGTAAACATACTGTGTGAAGAAGTAGGCTATGCTTTGTTGTGTTTATGATGTTTCGTAACATTGAAGAATTATAGAAAAACCGTGTTCAGGTTTCAATTACTTTGTGACTGGCGAAGCGACTAAGATCATGGATATCTCAATATTTATATTATCTTAAAAAGAAAGTTGGAGAAACTGATTTGAAAAAGAAATACTGTAATAACTATCTAAAAGACAGTTAGAAAGTCTCATAATTCTCTTTCGAAATGAAGAGGCATAAATGTGAACGTCTAAACAAGACATCCATGCTAAATAAACAAATGAACCTTGTTCGTAAGTTTCATTGACACGCCTATATTCATGACCTAGACAGTGTTTCAATGACGCGTCTATATTCATAACCCAGACAGTGCTTCATTGACGCATCTACATTCATAACCCAGACAGTGTTTCATTGACGCATCTATATTCATAACCCAGACAGTGCTTCAATGACGCGTCTATATTCATAACCCAGGTAGTGTTTCATTGACGCATCTATGTTAATAACCAAGACAGTGTTTCATTGACGCGTCTGTATTCATAATCCAGGTAGTGTTTCATTGACGCGTCTATATTCATAACCAAGACAGTGTGCCGTGATATCTCACTTTCGAAGAAGAGTGAGGCGTTGAATTAATTATACTTCAAATACATATTAAACTCTTTTTTTTCACTTTTAACGTAGATTTTTGGTAATAAAATCTGACCAAAAATTTACTGTCGCCTGCAGGGCAGAGAATGTTGTTGTTGTTTTTAAAGATGAACTGGGTGGCATAATTACTTGAAGGGAAAAGTTGTGTTTTTATTTAAATGCCATGATAATCATTCAGCATAGATTTCGAACGAGGACAGGGCGTAGAATTTTTTTTTAAAGATGTACTGTGTGATACAGTTAGTTGAAGAATATTTTTTCTGAATAACTGTCTCCATAAAGCTCTCTTGCGTTCACAGGTTCAGTCTACAATACTGCTATAAGTAGTTCTTCCCAAATATATTTACAGTTGTCTAAAGACTATAGAAAGCAATGTTTATATTCTGCACACGATAAATGAAGATTCATATTTTATTGAATCATACTTTTAATTATTCGTTGGAACTTTTAAAAATGTCCCATTTAGCACTATTGTGTAAACTTCTACAATAGAGAGTTAGGTAATGCAAACACTTAAATCTAAATCAACTAGTGAATAATCATATGTTTTCCAAATGTCTGACTATTTCTCATCTCCACTTTTATCGTTCATTGCGTCTACAGATCGTTTTAATTCATCAGTATATAATTTTTACTGAGTTTATTTATGCAACTAATAATTACATGTCAGCAAATACTTGTTACCATTAGCTACAGTATAAAAATCAAGAACCAATAGTTGTAATCTAAAATCAACCATCATCGTACATTTTTGGTGCATTAGAATGAAATGCTTATTATAATATTATATTTAGTTGTCCAGAGGCAAAATTCACGGTAATCTGACAAAAAGTAAATTCCAAAATAGCGAATTTTATATCATAACCCAATTACAACTCTTCTCTCACACACCAGACAAACAGATAGGTAAAACACCATTCAGATTTTATGTCTTTTATTTCATTGTTTATTTTTACTTTTTCGTTTCAGTAAAACGTGTGGTACCAGATTTGTAGTCAAATTATGCTCTTCAGACATTCGAGAACATTTCAGTGCAACAGCTTTACAAATATTGACCCAAGAATAAAATAAATAATATTTTCAACATATGTGGCCCTTCAGTGGCTCGGTGGTAATTCTCAAAGCTTATAATGTTAAAAACCGGGTTTCTATACCCGTAGTGGACACAGCACAAATAACTCATTGTTTAGCTTTGTGCTTAACAGCAAATAATACACATCTGTGAAAATATATACATAATGATCCAGTAATAAAAATGTATTTTCAGTGCAACAACTGCACAGATATTGACCCAAGAACAATATAATACTTTCAGTGCAACATTTGTATAAATATATATAGATCCAGTAACACACAAGTATTTTCAAACCAACGGCCAATGAAAGCATAGCCTGGATTGGCCCAATAAAAACAGTATTTTCACTTCAGTTCAACAGTCGTTCAAAGACTGTTAACAGTAAAATAATTTAGTTGTAAATTAACAGAGGAAGCAGAAACAAAGACTATATTTTTACATACATCAATTCCACAACGTTTGACTAAACAATACGAGCATCTTCGATTCATCAGTTTGTTACACAAAGATTCTCATAACAATAAAATATCTTCGGTTTATCAGTTAGTTGCACAGAGAATACACAGTAAGAACATCTTCAGTTTGCTACACAAAGTTTATCATAACAATAAGAAAAGAGTCATAAGTGTGTCAGTTACAAGAAACTTGGCCCCCCAAAAAAGTATTTTATGTAAGCCTGATGCACAAGCGCTGAACCAACAATAAAATCAGAATCTCTGTTACGTCAGTTTCATAAATAAGACAATAAGAATAAATATTGTAATATATCAGTCTTTCACAAAACAGAAACACATCATGGACCTAACAATGGAATGTAGGTTATGAATGGAGTAAATGAATCTTCAGAAAAGATGAAAAGTCATAAGACTGAATTTGAAAGCATTGTATGCACTTGAAGACTTGCTGAAGATACTTGGCTTTCGATAGAATTCGGAGCTCGATCACCGCGCAAGACATAGTGCAGATAGCCAGAGTTGCGCTAAAACGAACAGACAAAACTATTACATCAAATGATAGTTTTATTAACCGTTAACTTTCTATTGCAAACACGCAATTGTTTTGTTTAATTTCCAAAATTGATAAGGACTTAAGCGTCTAAATAAATAGAGACTAAAAACTGAGAGCTTTTATTATTTTTAGACCTTAACCTTAGATTATCCAATTTTAGCAAAGTGTGTAATTTGTGAGTTTGATTTTCAAGTGAATCTATGTACTTTGCTAGTACTAGCAACATACAAATTATTTGTAGCGGTGATGATTTTGAGGCTAGTTTTATTAACAGTTAAAAATAACACATAGTTTATTAGCTAACAATTACTTCATTTATGTTAAAGTAAAGCTAAACAATGCGCTATATGTGCTGTCTCTACAGCAGGTATCGAATCTCGAATGTTAGCGTTATAACTCCTCAAACTTACCGATGACTATTAGAAAATATCAACCTAAATAAGCAATAACACTGATCTGATGACACTAATCTCGAGCACTGGGGTGATTTCCAAGACAACACAGTGTAGACACCTACTTCATTGTTCATATTTTTATGATGCTTATGACTGAAGCGTGAAACCGGAGATGGGCAATCTAATCGACGCGTGTGCTTTCAGGATGAAGTAGTTTAGAAAGCGCAATCTATCTTTCCGGGCTTTTTCTATTTGGGGGGTTTTCTACTTTCAGCATAATTAAAAAGATGTTAAGTAGCATACTTCTTATTCAAATTTTATTGAACAACAAGGTAACTCTTCCATCTTGCAAATTGAAATACATTAGTTCACATTATATCATTACCAACTAGAAACTGCGTGTTCTTTAGTTTAGTTATAACAGCCCATCGTGGCCAATGGTAAAGGATGCCACTACGACTTATACCTTACCCAACTGGAATCTGCGTCTTTTGTAGTTTAGCTATAACAGCCCATCGAGGCCAATGGTAAAGGATGCCACTACGACTTATACCTTACCCAACTGGAAACTGCGTCTTTTGTAGTTTAGCTATAACAGTCCATTGAGGCCAATGTTAAAGGATGCCACTACGACTTATACCTTACCCAACTAGAAACTGCGTTTTTTTGTAGTTTAACTATAACAGTCCATTGAGGCCAATGGTAAAGGATGCCACTACGACTTATACTTTACCCAACTAGAAACTGCGTTTTTTGTAGTTTAGTTATAACAGCCCATCGAGGTCAATGGTAAATAATTCCACCCAGCAGAGGTTTATATATGTATCCCCGCAAAGAGACATGCTGCTTTTCTATTGTTTTTCCTCTTTATTTTCATCCAAACACTTTTCAGTCGGCTCCAATTCTTTAATTTCTCAACGGATTGACTTGAAACTTAATGGGGTTATATCGTGGCCAATACGCCCAGTCAGCTTTTTCATTTTTCTCATTTAGGCATTTTTTAATATTTTATGTGGTCAAAAGTCACACAACCCAAAAAATGTATATTTGGGTTTCTGTACAGTCTTATTTAGAGCAATTAAGATGAAAATTCGCACAAATATAAATTTTCATGTGCCAAAAACATGGAATAATGGAATTACAAGAAAAAGTTGGATTTGCCGATTTTTAATTTTTTTAGAAGAGTCAAACTCACAAAAAAACATAATTTGGGGAGTTTGGTCAATTGTGCGGCCATATTTGGGCCAATTTACATGGGATTTGATATAAAGACACTTTTCTACAGGTCCCACACATTGACAAACAAAAATGGTGGACTTGCCCATTTTTAGTAATGATAGGGGGTCAAGACGCAAGAAAAAGCACAATTTTAGGGTTTGGGGCAATTATTCCGCTATATTTCGGCTCATTTACATGTGATTTGGTACAAAGATACTTATTAACAGGTCCCATACACATACATACAATAATGTGGGACATTCCAATTATTGGAGGATGAAAAGGTTAAATAAACTCATAATTTTGCGAGTTTTGGTTAATTACTTAGCCATATTTCGACCAATTTGGGTGGGATTTACTACAAAGATACATTTTGCAGGCCCCAAACAGAGATATAGACAATTTTGGATTTTTGTCTTTTGCTCAATTTTTCAGTGAGGAAAACACAATG